CCTTCTAACATTCCATTTTCTTCCCTCAATGGTCTTACCTGGACCCCACCTGTGCCTCCCTGGGCCTTGGCGCCCCCCTGGAGGGAAATTTGGGGAGGTGGGAGGGGGGAGCGCCAAGGCCGGGCCCCCCCGCGCTGTGGTGGCGGGAGCGGCTGCAGTGGGGAGCGAGTGCGGGCGGAAGCGGCCGAGAGCCCAGCGCTGCCCCAGGCCGAGCTGGCCCAGCTGCATCCGTGCCCCTGCGGTGGGATGCTGTGGGACTGGGGGGGAAGAGGGAGGCGGCAGTGGGTGCTGGGCCTGGGGGCAGGAGGAGAAGGGAAGGAGAAGCAGGGTTGAGGAACAAAATGGTCAAATGATGCACATGGGAGGAGAAAGTGGGATTGTGCAGGAGAAGGAGGAATAGTAGGAAGAAGAGGAGTGTGAGGGAGAGTAGGGACATGGGAGGAGGAGGAGCAGGAAGAGTACACAGCACAAGGTTCCATCCCTCCCTGTATCTGCAGCCCTCTGAGCATTACCCCCCCCCACATGCAGCAGCTGTCTGGGGAGGGGGATCCATGATTTTCACGGGGCTGAATCTTGGTGTTTCTGACCTTTATTGGGCTAAATGTTGGTGCTTTGGTGTTGGAGGTAAATTTCTCACAAATGGGACAGGACTGATGGGTGACATGTCATGAGCTTTTATTTTGGGAACCAGTCTCAGGTACAGATACAGGAGATGGCACAAGCTCACGTCTACCACAAGCAGCTCCAAAATCTCTTTGTTTCAGAACATTTTATAAGTTTTTCAGCCAATAGCATATTGATAAATCTTACAGACAGTTGTTCTATCTAATCACTAGAAACACACGTACATCTTCCTCAAACAATGCTTGCATGTTTGCTTTCTATTAACAATACACAATACTCTGTTATTAAACTTAAAACTTTCTACTGTCTTGGTAAGCATATTTTTCTTCAATCTTAAGGTCTGTCTTGGCCAAGCCTAGAAACTCAGCTATTATTTCATGTCCTTGCATGTTTTATTATTGTATCTTTACTTTCAGACCTTGCAGCTGCAGCTAGCTCAAAGTCTAAGTTCTCTGCTTTTTCTTTTGAGGCCTATTTTCATGGCATCTAAAAGTTTTCTTAACTTCACTGTTTCCCACACTTTGGTTTTTTGCAGGGGCTAAATCTTTTTTTTTGGATGGGGTTTTGGCTGAATCCTGATCTTTGGGGAGTTTTTGATCTGTGTCTTTATATTTGGAGGATTTTGGGGCTGAATCTTTATGTTTTGGAGGTTCTTACGGACACAAGATGCCCAATGACTTCCTGAGATGAACTTGGGAAAGGAGCAGCCCCCAGGCAAACATGCTCTCCTTTTGTTTTTCCCCAAAACCAGGATTTGTCATTCCCAAGGCATTTCTAGATGGAGGAGGAGGAAAAGAGATCCCAAATGAGAAGGGGCTGCAAACCCAACCCAGGAAGCTGCAGGGTGGAAAGACTCCCTCTCTGCCGTGAAGGTGGCCAGCAGTCCAGACGGAGCTCAGAGCTGGTGGAGAAACCTCATGGCGAGGAGAAGCCCCACAAGTGCTTGGAATGTGGGAAGGGCTTCAGCTGCAGCTCCGACCTGATTAGGCACCAGGTGATCCACACTGGGGAAAAGCCCTACAAGTGTGGGGAATGTGGGAAGAGCTTCAGCCACAGCTCCAACCTGATCCGGCACCAGAGTATCCACACTGGGGAAAAGCCCTATGAATGTGGGGAATGTGGGAAGAGCTTCAGCCAGCGCTCCCACCTGATGCAACACCAGAGGATCCACACTGGGGAAAAGCCCTACGATTGTGGGGAATGTGGGAAGAGCTTCAGGAACATCTCTGGTCTGATTGAACACCGGGTGATTCACACAGGGGAACAGCCCTATACCTGCTTGGAATGTGGAAAGAGCTTTGGGCGGTTGTCCAACCTGAGAAACCACCAGCGCATCCACACTGGGAAGAGGCCCTACGAGTGTCCCCAGTGTGGGAAGAGGTTTCAGACCAGCTGCAATCTGCTCCTACATGAGCGGATTCACACAGACGAGAGGCCCTTCCGCTGCCCCGACTGCGGGAGGAGCTTCAACCGCAACTCCCACCTCACTGTCCACCGGCGCATCCACAGTGGGGAGAGGCCCTACGAGTGTCCCCAGTGTGGGAAGAGCTTCTCACAGAGCTCAACCTTGACCCAGCACCAACGAAGGCACCAGTAAGGGAGGCCCTGTGAGTGCCCCGAGTGTGGGAAGAGCTTCTTGTGGTGCTCCAGCTCCATCACCCATGGGAGGATCCGTATTGGATGATCCCCAGTGACCCCCATTGGGCAGAGCCCTGGTGATCCATGTTGGGAAGACACCTGGCTGGGGAGAGTCAGCATCTTCCTGTCTCCCTGTGGGGACCTGGATGAATGCAGGAGTAGGAACATCCATCAGGATGCAGACCAACAATGGGAATTCCTTGGCGAGGGTAGATCTGTTGACTTGCAACCCGAAAAAGTCTTTTGCATTCAGTCATATCTTCTGGTGGCATCAAGGAATACTGGATGGTCTTGGAAGTCATTTCCAACTTCTGTGATTCCACAGTGTTAATTTCTTACTGCCCAAGGGTGTCTTTCACAGCCAAACAGTGATGAACTGGGTCAAAGACCAGTAGTTTACAGACAGTGGTGTGGAAACCCCTCCAAAAGAGGTTCTTCCCATGCACCCAAGTATGTGGACCTTCAGCCAGCACAGATACTGGCCTTGAGGCCTTGATTTGCTTTTCATTTATTTTTATCTCTTTAAAATATCCAACTTTTGGTTTAAGAATAAAGACACTGAACTAAGAGATGGGTTGGGATGTTGAGGGACATAGACATGGAGAGTGACGTGGGGACACATGGACATGGACAGGGATGTGGCCATTCATGGGGACACGGGGTGACACGGGCACAGATGGAGACGTGGGGGACAATGCCAGGATGGAAACATGGTGGGGACACAGCCATGGGTGAGGACATGGTGGGACATGGCCAGCGACATGTGGGGCCATGGCCATGGCCGCTGCCATGGGGGGAACTGGCAGGGGCTGTGGGGGATGCTGTGTTTGAGGGAGTTGAGGGTTCCTGGCAGGGACTTGGGGCTTGCTGAGGGCTTTGGGGAGCCCAGGCCGAGCGGCTGCGGCTGTGACTGCGCTGGGAGCCCCTGGCAGAGGTTCTGGGGCAGCTGCTCAAGGACCCCCTGGCCTGGAGCCCCAGCCGGGCATTGGGCTCCTGGAAAGGAATGAAGGTCCTTGTCCCCAGGAGGGCAGTTCTAGCACCCCTACGGTGTCTGGGGCACCTGGGAGGCCAGAGCAGGGAAGAGAGAGCCAGACAGAGCTGTCCCCCTCCACAACTGCATCACAAAAATCACCAAACTCAGAGATTCCTCCCAGGAAAATTCTGTCAGGAGCTGACCAAATTGAGTGAAAAGGGTGATGGGACCCCCAGACTGAGGAGGAGGGGCCTGGAACCCCCAAAACCAAGCACAGGGGACAGGGATGTTGAATTGGGGGGCAGTGGAGAAGGGGTGGAAGGGTGGGGGAAAGGGGTCCCACGCCTCCTTTCTAAACCCATTTCCTCTTTTCTCAGGCCCTTCTCCCACTCCTTCCTCTGCTCTCCTGCTCCTCCATCCCTTCTGCTTTTCTCAGACCCAGTGCCCACCATTACCCCCTCATTTTCCCATTGCCATCACATCCCGCAGGAGCTGGGGTAGAGCTGGAGCAAAGCTGGGCTTTTGGCCTGGCCTGGGCACCCTTCATGCATGCCCTCCCCAAGTTTCCCTGTGGCTTCAAGGGGCGGCAGGGGGCTGTGGCGGGTGGCTTGTGCCGTGGCCGGCCCGTGTTGGCCCTGGGCTGAGGGCGCTGCGGGAGCGGCTGCCCGCGGTCTCCTTGCCGCTGGGGCCTCGGCAGGAGGCGGTGCCGGAGCAGCGCTGGCTCGTCCCGCTTCGTGTCGGGAGGCCGGAGGTGGCTGCGCTGTGCCC